CCTCCCCTCCCCTATCCACTTTGCTTCTTATCTTTGTGTTTCTTGTAAATGATAAATTCGGAATCTTATGAGGTCCCAAGCAAGTGACATTTAACTAGAGCTCGGTTTTGTCCCTTCCTTTCAGTGATGTCGTTGTGTTGAGCACTGCGAAGTTTCAAAAGATTTTATTCAATTAGATCTCAGCTCTATGTACTTTTCTTTGATAATGAGCTGATTGATAAACGCGTGTTTCCTATTGTGGGGTGAATTAATTTAAAACTCAGCCTCCGAGTTCTTAACCTGGTCTATTAAATTCTTCTAATAGTGCTCCATTTCGTCAACTGAAAACAAACACTCGCCCAAGCTAATCCGTTTTCGGAACGAAGATTGTGCGAACCGAAAACGCATTTCGCAGCAGTTCCCCACTCCACACGAAAATGCTCGAAAACATAGCAACAGTCCTCTGCCAAGGCGCATGTGCCGTAAATGGACTACCTAAGTTTTTCCAGTCCACACTAACGCGATAGGCACCCGTTGGAAAATGTCTTCTCAGTACAATTGGCGGCTTTCTCAAATGCTGATCGCGTTTCTTATGAAAACGGTGAGCGTTTCCTGGCGCTTTAGTGTGGACGGTGCGCTCAACGCGTCAAAAGGCGCGTGTTTTTAAACGAAAACGCATACATCTAAAATGCCGTCGAAAGCGACGGCGAAGGCTTTGTATTTTTCCATACCATATCAGCGTTTTCGAGCGTTTAAGTATGGACGGGGAAAAGCTCCGAAAACGGTAGTGTGAACGCGAAGCATTTAACTCGTTTTCGCTAAGTGCGTGGTTAAATGGGTAAACGGGCAGAGCGCCATTTTTTTTAACCAGTCAGTCTCATGAACGCTCTGGCTAACTTGAATAGCACTCCGGATAGCCTGAACGTCACTCCGCTTTGCCTAAATAGCTCTCCAATGAGCCGGTCCCCGTTAGTGGCCCCGTACTCTGTAGTTTAGCCCGAATGTGTTGCATTCGTAATACCGTTCGGTTTCATCTCCATATCTTCTGAAGCCGCAGACGGGGAATCAACAGTATATGGCTTTATACTACTATTCCGCGCGCGAAAAGGCGCGTGCAACTTTCCCGCGTGTCTCGGAAACAAATTCTTGAGTTGCTCTTCGATAGCTTTGATTTGTTCCTCGCCTTTCTTGTCTTTGTGCTTCTCGAACAAACTTTCGATCAGCTGTTCAGCATCTGCCTCTGCAAGTGGTTTGATTTTGTCGTTGAAAAGAGTCACGGCTTTCTCTGCTTCGTATTCTTGGAAAGCATACTTCCCTTGTAGTTTCGGGTCAACTGGTAAACACAAGCGATAAACCGTGACGAAGACTGTGGAGACAATAACAAGTCCGAGAATCAAGCCCCATGCGATAAACTGCGACGCAGTCTTCGCTTGAGAGAATTCTTTATTCACGGCATCTTTCAGGGCGGTTGTGGTTGCCTTGGCAAGTGCTGTATCCAGAGGTCC